GCTAGTGGATGGTTAAGATTTGTGGCCAAAAATACAAATGCCCGGAACTCCTGCTTTGGCTCCAGCCATGCACTGGGGAAGGGTAACCAACCTTCTCCTTTTCCCAAAGGTGTGCAACACTGCACGTGTGTTGCGCTTTACCTCATCAAAGCAAGTCAAATGCTTGGGGAGGGTTCATCCCTGTCTTGGCACAGGGCCAGGTGCAGGAAGAAATGCCTGCTTGTCCTTTGCAAAGGTTGGTGGACATTGTTGTGACCTTAGAGAGGTCATGATAGTGGAGTTTTGGGCACTGTAGCCCCTCTTAAGCTACTCAGTTTCTGCCTGTGCTTTCTCATACACCCTCTGATGGCTTCCTAGGGTTGGCCTTAGCTGCATGTTTCAATCTGCACATTATTTCAGCTGATGTAAATAAAAGTCTTTACTTGCAGGTAAAAGTGATTTGTGCAGGTGATTTGATTACCATTGCTGTGTTTACTAACACAACATTAATAGTTGTTATTAATCACATGAGTCCAGGCCTAGTGTCTACAGTGCTTTTGAACTAAATCAGCTTAAAATCTTAGGGTGTGTTGTTTAAGTTAAACCAATGCAGCTTTCTGATGTAAACAACCCATTACAGCTGCTTTGCAGCTTGGAGCAGTGATCACAGTGTCCAGTAAAACTCTGAGGGTAAAAGTTAAGCGATAGAGGTGGGCTGTGTTTTGGAAAGATGGTCTCAAGATGCATGTATGTGTAGGATGACTAGGGCTTCCTGGAAGAATCACAGCTCAGAAATTCAGCTCATCTAATGTGCATTTTCTTTGCAAAGACAAGAAGCAGAAAGTGGTTGGTAATGTCTTGTTTGGGGGGGGTTGGTTCAACTTAAAATGCTCAGCTAACTTGTTTTCAAATACTCCAGACTATTTTTCAGAGACTTCTTCCTAATAATCTTGTAGTGTGTGTGTATTCATGCAGTGTGTTTACTATCAATTATAATGTTAATGTTTTTTTCCATTTGAGTAGAGTTTTATTACTGGAGTTCCCAAAATGCTGTGCATGTGTTTAACACAAATGATTTGACTGAAACTAGTCATCTCTGGGGCAGGTTTGTTTACTTGTAGTGCTTTACATCTTACAAGAACGAAAGAAGATTAAGAGGTTTAAGCAAGATGAATTTCTCCTAACTTCACATGGCCACCAATTAAAACAATGGCAATGCTCTGTCTCCCATATCCACAGACCCTTGCGTCTGTGCAAAAGGAGGTGTTTGTCATAACAGCTACAGGGAAACCTTTAATTAGTTTATTTGTGCTCCAAATGCAAACTGAGACCTAATAATTCTGCCAATTAATTTCTTGTACTGTGAGTGCCAATTTCCAACCTTAGGGGAGCCCACACATACATCTGTCAGCTTCATCTCACATGTATCCAAGAGCAGGAAAATTTAACTTGCTGTTGAGGCAGTCTAGTTGAATGGAGGAAATGCTTTGAGTCAGGCTGGCTTGCTGCCTGCTGAATTTTGTGAACTTCTTGTAGGTTATTACCTAAGGGTAGCAACAAATAATTCAGATGATAGTGCAAACCATTGCTGTCTCTGGCCACAACCAATCTCTAGAATTTAGCCACCATAAAGAGGTGTGTAGCCCTGATAAGGATGTTGCAACATCAGGCTGCAACTGCAGTATCCTTTTTTTTTCCTCCAGCTGTTGTGCTTCACACTCCACAATTGGAATGGCTAATGGATCCTGGTCTCCTTCCTGGCCATGTGTATTTTCTTTCTTTGGTAGATGCAAAGTACAGAGCCATATGTCTGGCTGTATCTGCACTATATTGGGGGCGGGGGAGTAATCCTCTGGCATTTATCCTGCCTGTGCAAGTAGCTTGCAGTCATCTCTCTATGCAGTTCTCCATGCAAGCAGTGTGATTCCTGCTGGGAGCAGCAGCCCTGATTAGGGGTAGCTTGCCCTGTGCCTACAACATTCCCTAGCCAACGCTGAGCATCCATATTCTGTTTTGTATAGCCAGCCTGAGTGCTTCTGCCACTTCACTACCTCTCCTTGGCCTCATGGCTCTACAGATTAACTCACAGCCAACATGCACATTTTACATAACATACTCCGCTGCTGAGAGAGAGTTCTGCCTGATTTTTTTTTTTTCTTATAGATGAGGGGAGATAGCTTATGAGCAACATAAGCCTCTTGGGATCAGACTGAGGGCTTTGAATATAGTATTTCACAAACTACTTTCCCATTTCGATGTGTGCTGGCTCTTCCTTCTCTTCCCTCCCCTCCAAGTCTCGAAAGCTAGAGAGAGAAGCCCTTTTCCCCTCTTGGCCAGGATGCTATTCAGCCATAGCACATACTGCCAGATTGCTAACATATGGGCAGAGTGCTCAGCCAAAGTTTTGGGAGGCTCAGCCCTTGGCAGCTCTTTCCACACTTTCCTGTCTCTACATTCAGGAAATGAAGTCAGAGTGTTGATATAAAACAGGCTGGGTTGAAAACTGAGAAGCTGGAAAGACCGAAGTGGGGGAGTGGGAGGGGGGAGGTGTGGGGAGATGGAGAGGTGCAGGGGCTCATTGCAGTGTGCATTGCCCTGCAGCATGTGTGGGTTGGGGGTTTCTTGCCTTGTGCCGGTGTCTTCCATTTGATTGCTCTTGCTACCTCAGAGTCAGAGGACTGATAATTTCATGCTGGCAGATAGATACATGCGTCTTTCCTCTGGCATATAGAAGGATCAGCATGCAGAGATAGTGTTGTCTTGATCATGCGGCAGCATTTATGCAAGAGCTTGGAAGGGGTGAAAGTTGAAACTCTGGCAAAGAGCATCTATTTCCATATCTGGGACATGGGATTCCCTTACCTTTTGACTTTTTTTTCCTGAAGAATGACTCCATTGCTAAATTTCTATGGAATGATGTGGTTCTAATGCAGCATGATTTTTCTGAGACAGCTTTAACATCAGTTATTTTTTTTACTACCCCAGGGACTCTGTGGGGTGGATTCAGGGAGTTCTAGTTAAGTGAGACTGGTGGGGATGGCCTGTCTTGCTTAGGGACTTAGCAGTTAATGTACTTCACTTTTAGGTCACTAGTTCAACCTAAACCAGCATAATAATAACCCAAAGTAATAGAAAGCTGGAAGCTGTTTGCAGCTTACAGAACCTGAAGTGGTCTGTGTGGCTCTGAGACTAGTACCTGGCTGACAGGTGTCCCATCACAAAAATGCTTGCCCACCTCTAATCTAGATTGATCAACAATACTAAACAATCCAGGGAAATGTGCTTGAAAGCAATCCTGCTTTCATAGCCTGGCATCTTTGAGAGAGAATGGAGAATTTGGCAGCTACCCAAGTGATCTGTTTTCTAGGTGCTGGCTTCTGGGATATTCTTGTTGCGTAAGTTTTGTAATGGACTGGTATAGTTTGATCTTTGGGGTACATCTGAACCATGTACTGTCTGGTATCCTTAGCAAACTCAAGTCAATTTAACTGAAACTTAAGAGGATGTTAGGCTGGACTTGCCATCCTCTGGGTGTTTGAGCTCAGCAGCTTTGTCATCCTTATCTGCTGCTCTGCCCTGCCCCTCCTTTCTAGCTAGCTCTTCAGGATCTCTGCTCACTGACTATCTTTGTTTTCCATTCTTGTTTCCCCTGAGAGCAATCGTGTTGTTTCCAGCCAAGAAAGGTCTACAAACACATGACATGCTCACAAGCGGACAGTCACACATGCACGCTTGCACACAAAAATATACTCTATTTCAGTCTTGGATAGCTGCAATTCTGCCTTTTGGAGACCAGTGTGATGGCTCCCTCTCTTGTTATGTTGAGGTATAATACCCAGCTGGAACAGGATGTTCCAAATGGGGACCTTAAACCAAACTCACTTCTGTTAATCTGCTGTAGATCCAGACTTGAAGCTAAGCAGGGAGAATGATTTCTGACTTTCTGAATGTAAATGTAAAAATTAAGCTCAAGTTTGTTAAAAAATGATACCTAGGGTCAAAAATGTTGAGGATGGTTTTTGGATGTCTTGTTCTGTATTTAGCTGGAGATGTCTCATAAGAACCAGACTGGAGGGTTGTGGGTGCAGTTACTCTGAAAAACAGGTCCCTTAAAGCTCTCTGAATCTGGTTGCTGGAATTTCAGACTCTGGTTTTTAACATCAGGTAGTAAACTGCCTATATTACTTGAGCTTCTAATCATTTGGAGTGTGAGACTTTCATTAATGAGCATAGTTACTTGATTTTTTTTTCCAATACAGGAGGCCTTCAGGTAATGTTGCAGTAACCTGTATTATTGTAGCCAGACCTGCTCTTTGATCTTCTGATGCATATTTATTATTGCTTGCTTAATACTTTAAAAGGGTTCACAGTAACCAATAGAGTGTAGGACAGTGGTAGGATGAAGTGAGGAAGTCAGCTTTTCTGAAGAGGTGAATTTAAGCTGATATAGTCCGTAACTTCTGTGTCAAGCCACCTTCTCTCTCTATCACATGCCTGGCTTTTCTTGAATCTGGATATAGGCTTGTAGTGATTAAAAGTAAAACACCGAGGTGGTGACAGTGAGGCTATGAGGGCTGCTGTGCCCCTCTCTGACCAGCAGCAGTGTTTCACTCCATTAATGCTGGCCTGAGAACAGAGGTATGAGGAGCCTTTCCCAGGCAGACCTGCTCTGGGTGTCAAGTGGCTGGTGAGGGTCTTGGTGCTGACTGACCCCTTGCTGGCAAGAGTGAAGACCTTGATGTTGATCACAGCCTGGGGAATGGGGATGGTGCCATGCTGCTGCCTGCTCCTGGAGGAGTTAATGGGGCAGGGTTGTTGGGCTACATGACAAAAGCAGTCAGCAAGGACAAACTCCTCTTTCTAGAGGTCCCCTTTTCTCACAGACTTAAGGGACCAGAGGACCTGCGTTGAGAATGCCTCTCGTGACGTAGGGTCTGTATTGCTGACTGACTTCCATGCTGGCAGAGTAGTGCCACGCTGCTTTGGAGCAGTGAGTGACTTGTTACTGATCCCCTTTCCAGGAGAAGGAGAAGAAGTATATGTTACCAGTGGATAACCTGAAACTGCGAGATGTTGAGAAGGGGTTCATGTCCAGCAAGCACATCTTTGCTCTCTTCAACACTGAACAGAGGTATGCTCACATCTCAACATGCCAAGCTGTTGAAGCTAGGGACAAGCTTTATGTAATATTGGATAGGAGGGCATAGAGATGAGTGTGTTAGTTTAGCTGTCCAGGAAAGATGCGCATATCCTTTAAGGATAGTAATTTTTGGAGGAGATGGGGGACTTTTTAGAAGTCTGGCTTCATTCTTTCTGATCTTCCAGATGTGTACCATTTTCTTTCTTCACCAGTGCATGGTCTACAGTGTGACCTTAGTCTTCACCTATTTGGTGTGGTTACCTTGGCCTGGCTGTGGCTGGAGTATATACTTACAATCGGTGTTCTTAGTGAGTGAATAGGGAAAGCTATAGGAGATTGCTGGATTTCTCCAGCCAATCTGGGTCCCCTGTGAGCAGAACTGAAAAGGGAATCTCTTTCAGGCCCTGTTGAAATTAGGGCTTTTAGGGCAGGGCTAGAGGCTTGGGGAGAGCAGGACACAACTGATTTGGGGGCAGACTTGCTCATGAGAAATTCATTTCTTTTCCCTCAGCAGGCATGTCATGAGGGTACTAGCAAGGGACTAAGTGTATCTGCCTCAAAATGATAGGAAGGTTCCCTGCTCATTGTCATCTTTGTCAAATATGGGCAAATGTCGGTTTTGCAATAGGGAAGAATAAAATGTTTGTCTTCCTTTCAGGAATGTTTACAAGGACTACCGGCAGCTGGAGCTGGCCTGTGAGACCCAGGAGGAGGTGGATAGCTGGAAGGCTTCCTTCCTTCGTGCAGGAGTCTACCCAGAGCGTGTTGGGGTAAGTTACAGCCATAATAATGGGATAAGAAGGAACACAGCATGTATCTTAAGAAGGATAGCTGTATCCTCTTATGTGAAAAATAAGGCTGTGAAGGTTTTGTCTCTTTCCTGAGCTGAGGATATTTTGGAACAAAAATTTAAGTTTTCAGTATGTCGTGGTGCTTCCTTTAAGGAAGTTTGGGATAAAGTAATTGGTAGCTTCAAAGGGGAGATAAAGTAGGCAAAGACTGCCTTGAATAAACTCTTCTAGCGCTCTTGTTTTGTGGGCATTAAATTCCCAATATAAGGAGGACATTTAACTACTTGACTGCTAAGTGGTATGTGTCTGCTGAGCAAAGGCACTGTTCCTTTTTAGTAACACTTACTGTACAGTCTTGTTAGGAGCTTCCTGGCTTAGTAGTTGTTTTCCCATTCCTTCCCCCACCCAATTAGGAAGGGATGTTCTTTGAATTTTATTTCTTTTTTGCTTGGTAGACACCTTAATATGCTACTTTAGCAAGACCTCTTATCTCTTCCGTTAGCCTTGTCCCACAACACTTGCTGTCAGCATTATGCTCTGCTTTAAAATTATGTTCTAGAGAATTGTGGAATATGTTCCTGCTCAAAGCCTTCCTGTTCCTCTGTGAGAGGAAGCTGCTATAAATAATTTTCCCCATTAGAAAAGTGATAATTGCTTATCTGTTTGTATTTGTTGCTTCTAATAGACTTCTTGCATTCATCTTTCCTGTTACACTTTAAGATCGTGTTTTTTGCCTTAAAGCATTTCCTGACAAACTGATGTGATACTAAAAAAAAAAAAAAAAAAAAGATTAGGGACTGGACCTTAACAGTGACATGACTTCAAATTGGCTTTGGACCAGACTGGACCTCTTAAACACGTACTCATGAAGGACACGTGCCACCTATTGGTGTGCAAATGGAGCGGTTTGACATAGGAACACTGATTGCTAGGTTGACTGTCTCAAAACCCTGTGTAATGAATAACAAGTAGCCATTGTAGGTAAGTAAATTTCCCTTTGTTGTGAACAATACCATTTCCTTTGCAGAGCATCCCATTTTGATTTTCAGTTTAGCTAAACAATTCACTTGTTCTTCTTCCAGGGGAATCTAGGTATTTATGTATTTCTAGCGCGATTGGTCTTTTGCTTGTTCAGTGCTATTATGGGATCTTCTCCAAATTCTGGGACCAACTAAAAGTTGTCTCTTTTTTTTTGTCCCTTTTTGTTTTAATTTTTTCCACATATGCTCAAACTGGCCTGCCAGGACAAGGACAAAGTAAGTCTGACCCTCTCTGCCTGTTTTGCCGCCTGGGGCTCTCACCAGATAGTTCTCTTTTGTTTTTTCCTTTTGTCACAGTTTCCTGAGAGGCATGTGCTTCTTCTCCCTCTTTGTACCTTCTGTTGGATTGCTGCTGTTTGTTTCTGTTCTTGGTTTGAGTTTTCCTTTTTTCTTTTTATTTCTCCCTTTTTGTATGACTTCTGAATCTTGGTGCAAACTTATTTTTGGTTTTTTTTTTACCCTCTTCTTTTTTTAAGTTGTCCTGTTTGATGTCCACTTCCTTAAAAGCTCAAATGAACAAAAGAATTTGCCCTTTCTCATATATTTTGTTCCCCAAAACAAAAGACAAGCAATTTCCTACGCTGCTGCAAATCCTTCAGACTGGGATGGTTTAAAAGAAAGATTTTTCTTTATAAAATCAAGGTTTTTTTTAAAATAAGCATTGAGAAAGGCAGCAGTCTTTCATGCTTTGCTGCTTTGAAATTGATCCCAAATGGGTGAGCCTTGGTGTTTGCTTGCTGTCAAACAGCACAGTCCAGGTTTTACCTTACAGAAAGCTAAGCAATGCATTTCAGGCAGCCAGGAAGAGATTCATCTGCTTGGTGTGAAAGAAAAGATAATTATGACTTATGATGCAGGATTTGCAGTTAAAGTGATCAGGAAGGTTTTCTAGGTTATTCCATCTACTTGTGGTTTGAGCAGTTATTTCACCTCTCTGTATCTGTTTTCTCATTTCTGTAATGAGGATAAAGATGCAGTGTGTGAGAGAGCCTGTAAGGCTTAATTTGTGGTGAGTGATTCTCAGGTCTAAACTGAATCTGGGCATGGAAGACCCAGCTCGGATGAAGAACCTTTCAGGAAGCTATAAACATTAAAAGTAAAAATTACAGCTTTGAGTATTCACTAGAGCCATAACCTGTGAACCTTGGTCAGGAGTCCCTGTTGCCTTTCACCTTTGTATAATAACTTTCTACTAAGAGAGCAGCTTTATTCTTAAAGCTCCTCAGATCTGAGCTGGAGAAGTCTATACAAACTGAGCTGTGCATGAACAATTACAGTTCAAAATGTAAGTTTAAGTTTTATTTATTGCATGCATTTCCTGCGTGTTCCCTTATTTTCTTCTCTTGGCACTCTCAGGAAAAACTAATTTTGTTACATGTGAAGAACCAGTCTGTTTCTCCTTTTCTCTGCAGGCCAGTGAAGCGGAGGAGAATGGATCAGACAGTTTCATGCACTCCATGGACCCTCAGCTGGAGAGACAAGTGGAAACGATCAGGAACCTGGTGGATTCCTACATGGCAATTGTCAACAAAACCATCAGAGACCTCATGCCGAAGACAATCATGCACCTCATGATAAACAATGTACTTATCACACTGTGGTCAATGGAGGTGGGGAGACACAGAGAAGGAGAAAAAGGGAGGGAGAGAAAGAATGAAGAAAAACCAAAGGCAGCTTGGAAGGAGGGAGAGGTGGGGACAGAATGGAGTGTTTTTGGGAAGGCAGTGGAAATTAATTCTCTCTTTGTGCTCATTTACAGACCAAGGACTTTATCCATTCGGAGTTGCTGGCAAATCTATACTCCTGTGGTGACCAGAATACGCTGATGGAGGAATCGGCAGAGCAGGCCCAGCGACGTGACGAAATGCTGCGCATGTACCATGCCCTGAAAGAGGCCCTCAACATCATCGGGGACATCAACACCAGCACTATCAGCACCCCTATGCCCCCACCGGTGGACGACTCTTGGCTGCAGGTGCAGAGCGTACCATCTGGACGCAGGTACCAGAGGCTCAGGGGGAGAGCCCCACAGACCTGCCTGATGCCTCTTCAGTGGCTAGCTGGGGCCTCCTACTGAGACAGGGAGTCCTCCTCTTCCCCTCTTCTCCCTGTGGATGAAGAGTTCTGGGTATTTGTGTTGGGAGGCTCCTAGGCTTTGAAGGCTGTGTAGGGCTGCTACGTCTTTAGAGAGGATGTGGAGGCTTCTAAACCCATAGGTTAGATGGGGCCTGAAGTAACTTTGAAGGCAACCTGAAGGCTGGCGTGGCCCTTGAAAGCCAAAGGGTGGTACGTAAAGTGATGTGAAACTAAAGAAGGAACACCGAAGGCAGCACATGGGGACCTGATGGTGACACAGGGATCCCAGGCCTGTTGTTGCAGTTGAATTTCTCTGTTTGTTTACCAGGTCTCCTACATCCAGCCCCACGCCACAGAGGAGAGCTCCCGCTGTTCCACCCACCAGACCTGGGTCTCGAGGCCCAGCTCCTGGACCACCTCCTGCTGGTGGGTCCACGCTGGGTGGTGCCCCCCCTGTGCCCTCCAGGCCAGGTGCCTCTCCTGATCCCTTTGGGCCCCCACCTCAGGTTCCTTCTCGGCCTAATCGTGCTCCTCCTGGTGTTCCCAGGTAAGTGCTGAAATGCTGCCCCACACAGGTGAGAGGTGGCCAACTTTTGGGTAGCAGCCCTGACAGTACTTAGCCTGCCTGGGCCGTAGAAGGAGAATGGAGTGCATGGTGTGGGTACAGTCTTTGGCTATTTGAGTTGGGTCCATAGGCAGGAGCATTGTTGTCCACTGAGATTTCATTGTGCAGATGAGGCAATGTCAAAGCAGCTCTCAAGAACAGAGGGGCAGCCTCTTCTGTATGCAAAGCTTGGGGGAAGAGGACTGTGAACCCGAGGGCTTTATTAAAGCAATCATACCAATGCCTCTGCTCACAAGTAGGAGGCGGTTGCCAGAAAAATCACAGGACTGGAGTGACAGTACACCTTTCAAGGCAGTTCCCCTCTCTGCGTAGGGCTCCCCAAAGTCTGAAGTTGCCCTTTTTCTCCTGGCCCAGAGTTCTTCAAGGTGAGTTGGAGAGACCTTTATCTAGGCTGTTCAGATGCTTTTCAGCTAGGAGAATATTGCAGTATCACTGGCAGGGAAATGGATTTTTTTTTTAGGCATTTTTGTCACTTCTGTAATCAATTGAACATTTTCCAGTCTCAGAGGTTCAAATCACACAGCTTGCTTTTTCCATTAGGAAACTCAATTCCTTTCCTGTTCAGTCACTTCAAACACCCTTCAACATAGTAGTAAGGGATTATCCCCTGTGCAGCTAAGCATGTGTTCCTGGACAGGACTTAGTAGGCAGTCTGGAACCAAGAATGCTTTTAGGTTGGGTACTTGGTCCCCTGTGAGGAAGAGAAGGTAATTGCAGAGTAAAGAATGAACATAATCAGGAACTCCCCAATGACATGCCACAGGGAACACTTCCCTCATGGAAAATACTTCCCCTCTAGTGGATGCTGGTGGTGCATGTCTGAAGCTTCACCATTTTTTGTGAAAAAAACCCAGATGGTCAATGGGTGGTGATAGTATACAGTAGAAGCGGTTCAGTCTTCCTCCTGTGATAGTGCCCCAGCTTATGCTTGGTGCTGCCTGTTTGGAGGGGAAGTGTTCTCTGCCAGGCTGTATCCAGCGCAGAGGTGGATGGGTCCAAAGAGATTATAGACCAGTTTGACTCTGGTGTGTGCAAATGGTTTTACTTTCTTGGTGCCTCTGCCCCAGTCCTCCCTATGCACCTTGATGCAGCTCCCACAGTAACTTGTCCACACATGCCTCAGTGTTGCCCCAGGGACTGCAGTCCTGCTGGTGGCACCTGTGGATGTCAGCATGCTTCTACTGTGTATTTTGGCTCTTGCTTCTTGTGACCCTGCTTTTCCATATACTGTTACTTTGTGGGTTTTTTTCAGTATACTTATGCTTCTTTCTGTCTCCATCTTTCTCCTTTCACTCAGTTTCATTTCTTCACTCATGAAAAATATTCTATATACCTGATCATCATGATAGGATTCCCCAAATCGGCTGAAATGAATTGACCTTTTTGAAGAAATCTGTCATAGCTTATCTTAGTGGCTTTTCTGCCTTTTGCATGAGGTAGAAGGGTTAAGTGGAAGGTAGAGAACAGCACTGGAGCAGAGGAGGAAGGTGTTTCATACTTAACTGAGCAATCCCTTGCTTTAGAAGGAGAGATGGTAGGTTGGATTGCATGCTACTGACTGCCCTGATCTGGAGTTGAGAATATAATTCCAGAAGCTGTGAAGTGATGCTCATTCTCTGATCCCCCTCTCTGATTCTTCCAGTTGTTCATAGACTCCTCCGGATCCTGATACCAGCTTGTCATTTGAGTTCACTGATGAATGGAGAATTTCCAATGACAAGGGACTCTTTCTCTTCCCCTCCTGTATATAGAATAAGAATGTTCCCTGCTAGCACTTGGACTCGGGTCCTTCTGCCATGGGTGAACAAATGCCATCTCCATTGTTGCTTTTTTAATACCCATCTTTTTCCCTTGCTAACTGGACTACACTTGTGTCTGCGTGTGTGTGTAACAAAGTTCTTGTATACGGTATGAGTGGGCTTTGCTGTTGGAGTTGGTGTTGTGTAGTGAACTGGAAGTGCATGGTGGTGGCTGGATGTACTTTGCGTGTGTTTGCACACTGATGCCCATGTAGAAGTCTGGCAGTTTTTGTGCCTCCAGTTTGTGTGAGCATCTGATTTTATGAATGATGAACTTAGACAAGTGTTGCTCTACTTCTTTCTCATCACCATAATTGTATAGACACATGCTTTCACATATAAACACCACATCATCCATTTTCTTGCACAGAAAAGTTTTCGTGCATATAATTAAGGACACTTAAAACAGGACTTGTCATCCTGCCTCTGTACTTAGGTGAAAGTTGCAAACAATATAAGGTCCTGTCTGTGTGCAGTGAAGGACTGCATTTGGACTATATGCCTATTGGAGCTATGCAGGAGGATTTGTTCTGGGAAAGAAAACTATGAAGATACTCCTGTAGGTATTTAGGCTCTTCAGTTTAAAATAGTTTGATAGAAACTGTAGATGAAAACTTAAGCAAGCTTGAAGGAGAAATAAGAAAGTTTAAGTGGAGAATGACTTAACCATTAGAAAAATCTGTTGAAGGCATTAATGGGTTCTCCATTCCTTGGTACATCTAAGGAAAAAGATGCAAGTGATCAGCATCACTGTAAGCATAACTTCACACAGCTTTATGACTTGAATTATTCAGGAGGTCGGAGTAGCTGATCTCATGATTTGTGACCTTCAAAGTATAAGCCTTCACCTGCTTCTTCCCTTTTTGGGTAGTGCTCAGGACTGCATATATATTATCTCGCTCTTTCCTGAGCTGTTTGCTTCAACTCGAGCATTTAATATGGTCAGTAGATAGGAATCCTCAGTGACAGACAAGTCAAGCTACCTGTGCCCAGCTGGTGGGTGCTGAGACCTAGGTATACTACTGGTTCAGCAGGTATGAATGTCAGCCTGGGTGTGTGAGTGGACTTAGTGGGTGAGTGAGCAACGGCCAGTAAGCGTGCTAGCAGATAGATGGCTTTTGACGCAACCTTGTGCACAACAGGGTTCTGGATGTGGGCAAAGATGAGGCGGTGACTGTGTGTGTGAACTCTTGTGTGGCAGTGTGCAGTCTTACCCAGCAGTGCACACTTGTGCTGTGTTCTGGATGGGGATGTGCGAATGTCTGTCTGCAAGCGCATGTGTCTATTCCACCTTCCTGACAGTCTGTGTGGCCTCTGCCTTGAACTGTCTGAACTGCCATGTTGATTTCATGTTGTCTTTCAGAATCACTATCAGTGACCCCTGAGGACTGGCAGCCACGGTACGTTTTGCACTCTCCCTGCAATGCATGAGTCATTGTGTCCCCATCCTCCATTACTTTGCTTTGCAGCTCACCTCTGCTGCCTAGTTCTTGTATTAGTAACAGAGTCCCTTGTCCAATGAACCACCTCTGCCAGGATCTTATAAAGGGAGGAGTCTTGAACAGAAAAACTGGCTGATCAGAGACAGAGCAGCTGCTTGAGCTGCAGGAGCGGGGAAAGCCTCAGTACCTGATTTAAGGTCACTAGAGGACCCTTTCTCTGCTTCTAGATGGAGGAGGTGGGATGGGGGAATGAGCTCTGGTAATAAGGTCTAAACTGTGTGTGTCTTTCATTTGGTTTATATCCACACTGTTTGGGAGATCAGCTGAATGAGCTCTGTTTTGATTTGGTTTGTCAGCTCTGTTAGGATCAAGATAGACTTGGGGAGCTGTTAGTTCAGACTCCTCTTCTTATATTCCTAATGTCTGGCTGGAGAAGTGCTCCCATCCTCACTGTCCTTAGTGTTCATCGAAAGCAGGAGAAGTTTGGGTCGTTAATATCAGGACTCCCATGTCTGAGTGTAGGGTAACTCTGACATTGAATGCTCCCTGTTTATCCTTGTGTCCCATCGTCACAGTTAGAAGTGAACTCCCTTTGCTTGTTCTCCACTTGACCCTTTACCTTCTAGATTACTCTTTTGCTTCCATTCAAACTGGCTTCTCTCTGCTGCCTTATGCCCCTGTGAGAGGAAGGGTTTAGTGATCTGTACCCCCCCCCCCTCCAAACACTCTACCCTCAGCTCCTGCCTGTTTCCCTTTCCTATCTCTCCCTGCATTTTGCAGTATTGTACTTGTTCAGTGATGTAGCAGGGTATTGGGGCAGGCTTGTGTGCTGTGCTGGCCCAGCAACTCTTTTGTCCTGTTAATGCTGAGCAGGGGTGTGAAGAGGGAGATCTAGCAAATTCTCCTGAGTCTTTTTCTTGGGAACCTCTAGCACTTATTGACAAAGGGGAGAAAGGGCAGAACAGGGCAGGTGTGGGGTTTTGGGGCTCCTCCCTTACTCTGTGGATGTTTCTTGATGTGAAAGGTCTGAGAGGAGTGGAGCAGCAGCAAGTCCTGTAGATTCCCTTGCTGCTGGTTGTGGTAGAGAGAACTGGGGGTGGGGAGGGTGGGGTGAAGTCCTATCTTAATAGGAATAGCAGAAGTTCAAGTGCCTGTTCCAGGGCAGGGGGCTTCACAGCTAGCCCCCATCTTGCAGCAGATGGTGTCTGCTACTGCTGCATGTAACTGCAGTTAGAGCTGAGAGGTGCCACATCACATCAAACCAATGCAGTGTTCAGTGATTGATGTGTTCTTTGAGGACATCATCTGTCAGCCCTCCTCAGTGATGACATACTGCTGCAGACATCCGTGGCAGCCCTAGAAACATGCCTTGTGGTGAACAACCTCAGGAAAGAGGTTTGCTGTTGTCTGTACCTCATTCTGGGACTCGCTGTTACGGGGCATTCTGTTCTTAATCTGGCATAAAGAGCACCAAGGAAATAAAAATTAAAAACCAAAACAACACCAAAAAACAAACAACCAAAAAAATCCCACCCCAAACATCTTGCAGCCCAAGGGAATAAATGTAATGTTCTACCATCTGTTAGGTCCTTATCAGCAGAACTTTCTAGTAGCCTGTTGGTTCCTAGATATGATTAGCTCAGCATTCTAGTCTGCATATGGCTTGAAAGACTGACTTCAAGGGATATGACAGTCAGTGTAACTGGTCTCCTTGGGCTCCTGCCAGGACTCAGGTCTTGCTTTCCTTGAACTGGAGACTGCCACAGGCTTCCCTGTTGAGCAAAACTTTGTTCCTTGTTGTCCTGACAGAAGAAAGTGACTTTTCAATGAGGTAAAAAGGCTTGGCTAGCAATGTAGTGAGACAGGCTGAAGGAGTGTTTCAGGGGTAAAAGTTGCTTGAGAGACTTCTGTCCCTTTTTGTGCTGGGAAACAGTTTCCAGCCTTCTGTAACCTTACCAGGCAGATTCTGCAAGTGTTCACAGAAAACCTGAGCAAAGACAAAACCTATAAGTGTAAAAAGTGACAGCCTGTCCCCCTAAATGCTCTGACTGCTGAGATAAATAAGTGTCTGCAAAAATCAATCATAATACATGACAAAAAAGCAGCCCATCCACCTGCAAATTATTTGTGCTCCCTTCAGCCCTATTTATTCTGGTAGGGTCAAGCAGCCTCTCTTGCCAGAACACATTACATAGTCCAGTGACTTCAAGCATCCTTTTCACGTAAATCTACAGAGGCTGTTAGGGACAACCTGTCCAAGCTCCTGAAATGCAAAAAGTCCTTCAAGCTTCTCAAAAAACACCTTCTAACACATGTGACAGTGCAACAGCATCTCACTAAAGGTTGAGCTAAAGTTTTGTAAGGTTTAATTCAAATACTGTTACTGTTCCAATGATGGTAGTAGTCATTGAGTGGTTGGTATGGCTGCATTTACACCATGAGCACCCTTTAGAGATAATGCACAGATCCCACCTGTCATGAAGCTCAGGGTTACAGATTCCCCAGCTGTAACATCTCATTGCAAGTTTTGCTTCTGGGAGACAGTATTATTTCAAGCATCCTTCCAAGGTGGTTGTAATTTCTAGGTTAGCTCAATCCCATCATTATTTGCTGTAGAGGAGAGCAGTACCTTGATTGGCATGCTGACAATGGGGTCTTACAGTCCCAATTGACATTTTCAGTCAAGGAAATAACATTTGGAAATGTTTTACTGTGTGAAGCTTTTTTATGTATCATTTCCCAAGGCAAGCAACAAGTGGTTGTAATTGTTTTGAGATCTGGGGCTTAATAAACACAGAACAATAAGTTCTGCTGAGGTCTTATAAACAGGACTAGAGTTGCTCTGGTTCATTTGCCAAGATGAGGGAGCTTGCCCCAATTTATAGGTATATAGTTCCTCTGGTACCATCATGATTATAGACTTGCAGTCAGTGCAAAACAAGAGTTCTCTACCTCAGAAGACTACTGGTGCATATATCTTCCTCTGCCCCTCTTCCATTCCTCCCGTCCATTCCCTCAGCCTCTGTTTTAGGGGAGGGTCTTCACTTCCAGCAGTCAGTTGATTCTCTGTGATCTAAATTAAAGCTTGTTAGAGTGGAATTGTTCAGGTATTGTTTCTGTGACACCTCATTCTGTATGATCAGTGCAAATGCTTCCCCTCTGGTCTACATCCTGTTGGGTTTGCTCTTTGCATTTCAGGCAATTTGGACTGTAAAACTACTCCGGCTTGGTACTGAACAATTTAATTATAATGATACACCATCGTGATGCTCTTTAGGTTGCAGACACTGCAGGGAGCATGCTTTAAAGTAAAAACATAGATTGGACTCACTGACTTACAGAACACTCATTTGTAGACTTAAAGCCTGTAGTCTGAGGCTGAAGTGATCTCTCAGGTAGTGAGTTGAGAGAGACAGCAGGGGTTTTGTCTTGTATTTTCTGGGGGTTTGTTTTTCCCCAGTCCCTTACAGGAAGGAGATCCTAGAACACTTAATCCATGCAGAGGGCAAACATTTAAGTTGCTGCCCACTTACCTAGAAAGTACCAGCAAAAGAGCTGAAACAGAATGGAGTAGCAATGGCCAAAGTTCCTTTTATTGAAGCAGAAGCTGCATTTGCTGAGCACCAGAACTAGAGAACTGAAAGCAGCAAGCTTGCCCCTAACATGAGAGATCAGTACCATGTATTGGGATAGGGAGTCTTAGGCTTGCAGTAGCCTTGAGGGCAGGGGAAGAAGGTGCTCCTCCAAACCAGCCAAGAACCTCTGACAGCAGCGCGTCTCAGAGGACCCCATCCATGCTGTGTGACTGTCATGTGCTTGATACAGGAGCTCACTGTTGTCCATGCTTCTCAACTCTCATTCCAGAGCCAGTGTACTCACTGGCAATAAATCTCTGCACTTCCAAATTTCAGAGGGAAAGCAAAACTGGCTGTCAAGTGGATTGCTTTACTGGTCATCCATGCTGTGCAGAAAGGCCAGTGTGAGGCCTGATAGAAACCTGTAAGTCTTCTTCGTGAAGTTGCACTCTGGTGGTTTGTGCCTCAAGTTTTATTCTCTTGCTGGCTCAGGCGAGGTGGAGAAGCATGTGTGATTGTGACTGCAATTGCTGTGCTAACCACAGTGTGTGTTCTCTTGTTTTTGTTTTCTGCTTTTTCACAGCAGAAGGGGCCCTGCCTCACCTACTCGACCTACCATAATCCGACCGGCTGAACCGTCCCTCTTAGATTTATAACTTGAGGCTGTAGACAGCTGGCGACGAATGCCGTGCTGGCGGCTTCCCCATTCCACCCTCCCTTCCACAGCCACAGTCACTCCTTTCATCCATCCCACATCTCTGCCTCCCACCACCCCTTCCTGGTGTGTCGTAAAACACTAGCCTAGTGATCGAGCTCTTCGTCTTCACTCGTACGTCCTGTATTGCTTTGTGAGCGTAGAGTAGCCTTCATTCAGTGGCATGGATCCCTGAAGTACACAGGCTCCTTGGAAAGATCAGCCGCAGGGACGTCCTTAAGTCCAAGTGGTGGCTGTCCGTCCAGTAATTTCATCTGCCTGGTCTAGCCTGGATAAGTGTCCTGCCTGCATCAGTTAGCTGTAGCACCTAGGACTGATCTGTAGCTATTTTCTTTTTTTGTAGTTAAGACGACAAAAGTGTGACTTAGAAGAAAAACACTGTCAAAACATGTGACACCATTAGGAACAGATTAAATGTCCTGTGTATTAGTTTGACTTCTAAGGTGCAAAAATTCATGTTGGGAACAGTGCAATCAACCTTATATCTAAGTGAGGCAGGGAGATCAAGAAAGGGGGGAACTCAATGGATCGGCATAGTCCTGCTAGAGTGAAGTCTGAGATAGCGTGCACACACCTCAGCGTGCAGGGAGCACATGGACCTGCTCGCACTCAGCTCCCCAAAAGAGCTGGGGAAATCCTGCTGGTGACGCACTGGCTCCTGCCAGCAGTTGTCTTGCATCATCATTTTTGGCTGACTTTCCTGAAACCAGCAGGGAGAGGGGAATAGATATGCTGCTCCCCCCTTGCAAATGGACAACCAAACGTTTTCAGGGAGCTTGCTGTGTAATGTTTTGTTGAAAATATTTCTGCTTTGAATAAGCACATCTTTCAGTGTTTTTTGGGTACTGTGGTGACTTCTTCCGTAGCCTTTTCTTCTTGCATGTGGATGGTACGTGTTTGGGGAAACTTGTAACCGTTGTTGATCGCAACTCATCTTCTTAAGGTTTGGTTTTTACTTTTCATGCTACATGTATTAAAAAAAAAAAAAAAAAAACCCTTGAGAATTAAAAATATATCAACCCTGTACATCTCAGATGTCATGTCTCTGCCAGAGCTAAATGAGCCACCTGTGTTGCAGGCTTTCAACCAGGCCTGATTCAGATTTAAGTTATCTTATTTCAGTGGTATTGCTCTTAATTTCTGTTGTGGATCCTCTATTGTTCTGATGCCAGTTCCTTTCTGTATTTTAACTATTGTTTTACTACTTCTTCCCCTTTTCCTTCCCTTCCCCTTTTCCTTTTTTTCTTTGTTTTTCTTGTCTTTAAACTCCAGCCGGCCGGGTAAGGCCAGTCCCTCCCGCCCGGAGAGTCCAAAACCACCATTTGACATGTAGGCCTGCTCCCTCTGAGACTCTTTGCCTGCCTCTTAGCTGTTCTGTCCTGGAATGGTCTGACTCGAATCTCACACATGGCTTGTTCTGTTTGTATTTTGTGACACACACATATCAGATGTGACTGTAGTGAAACTGTTTTTGTTTTGTTTTTTTTCTTCCCAGCTGCTTAAAGGAGTTAAACAAGTATATTGTAGTAATGAGAAACATATCTTTACTGTTATAAATATATATAAATATATATATAAAGATGAAAAAATCTATATATGTCCAGGTGTTTAAAGCCATTTGTGCTTCCATGTGGATTTTAGGAAATACTTAAGTAGGGAAAGAATATCTATATACATATATATATATACACACACATCCAAAAAGTTAACCAAATCCTGATGTTGAGTTTTTGAGCTGATTGTTAAATTCTCTGCTGTGTGCAGTTGGGTTATTGTATTACCCCAGACTTGTGGGTGAACTGTCTCAGTGCTGGTAGTAGCTGTGATGCAGTTTGTGATCTACCTGTCACTCTTGTTTATTGGATGAAATAAACTATCATTTCTGTATAATGAAGGTCTCCATGACTAGAATAAAACCATCTCTCTTTCTCTTTCTCCGAGTGACTTTCAAACTGTATTTAATTATAATCTTTTCATCCCATAGAGCTTAAAAAGCTATACATGCAAGCAGGTGCTATCACTAATAGGGAAGGTGGAACAGATCTGCATCAACAGTGGTGTCCAGGAGCTGCAGTAGAGTGAAACAGCTTGTCAGATGTGGAAGTTAACTCCCTTTCTCCGTTGTAAAGGAAAATGCGTGGAGGTGCTTCAGTGACTGGACATACAGAAGGTGGGAGTTTTGCACACAAAATTGCTTGGTTCTTAAAAAGGTATTTTGCCTAGGCTGTTTGTGGCACACAGCAAGTGAGTGTTGAGTTGTAGTTTCTCTGTCAAGCAGTATTTTTTTGGTCCCATATCTGAAGTGCAGTTTGACCACGGTCTAACACGGTTGGCCAGCTCCTAATTGGAAGTTGCTTTTAGGCTGCAGTGGGATTTCTCCCCTGGCATAAACTGGGTAAACCTGTTCCTACTGTCTCCAAGCCAAAACAGAGTGCTATGGGTCTTGGATCATGGCTGCTGCTTCTCACAGTGACAACCATGTTTCTCCATAATTCCTGAACTTAGCACTGTTATCCCAATGATTGCAATGGATTCCTTAAGCCTCTGTGTAATGGGGCTGCAGCACTACTTCTGCAGGAAGAGACCAGGAGCACTGGGGTTGCTGACTTAAGTCACTGCAATACTGATGCCTGATCTAGCCCTGAGTGCTCTTGGCTACAGCTGGCTGTGGTACTTGTGGTATCCCCCTAGTAAGGCTTCAATAAGCTGAAAATCTCCTTGAAGATTTTATTCATAGTAGATACTGGTGTGGGTTGAGTTGAATAGACTAGATCTCTAGTGTGTTGTAGCTACCTGTCTTGCATGTTTTTATGGGTTGTAACTTCAGCTTCTATGCAGCTGAGACAATAACCATTGCTTGCCCTACCCTGTCCTATTTTTTTTTTCCTCACTGGGACTGCTCCATCTATCCCTGGTGTTATATATAGGGTTGTTCTTAAAGAATATTATATTTTTGAAGGCAAAACTATGTATTCAAGTAAATATTAGAGCCTTATTTTGCAAAACCAGAAACCTCTAATCTACTAGCTGTGAAAGGTTAAATACCTTCTGATGAGAATACCAGCTACTCCTATCCACGGATGTACAGCCCTGTCAAAGAAAAAGTGTCCTCTTTCCAGTGCAACAGCTGTTTCCTGTTGTTTGGTGCTTATGGCCTTTAAGAAGCATTTTTTTACTTTCCCTCATATCAGAGGTGCATAGGTAGTTCACTTGCTCCAATTTAAAGCTATTGTGTGTCAGCTGAATAGTAGTTCCTGCTCTTAGTTCACTCCAAGTAAAGGTGGGGTCAGGGAACAGGGTAAAAGCTGAAGCTGAAGCTTGGGTCTGGATGTGAAATGCTAGCCAAGAGAAAGGCCTCAGGCTTGTTGGTAGTCTGTCTACAGGAAAACATTCATGAAAGCCAAGTGAAATAGGGCATTGATGCCAGGGCAGGTGTTTTTAATAAAGAATTCATTCTTCACTTTTTTTTCTAGCGAAATTTCAAGGCGATCTGTGCAGAAGAAACACATCTAGTCAGTGCCCATCTGAATATATTTATTCAGAAAAATTTGTAACAGGATTAAGTCACCTCTGCAACAGACTGCAGACCTTCTTCACTGGTCTTGTCTCCTTCACAGTACTAGAGTAGCACATCCAATAAATATTTATTCCATTTATAATAATGCTCTGTATTAAATCACAGCCTTGCCCCCATTAGTTATGATACAGATTTACAAACAGCCTGAGCAGGCATAAACACTGCAGAAGCCTCAGTTTCTCTCTTCAAGGAATATACAGCATTTTACACAGATGCACTATGTACACAGACCCATGCAGCCAGGAGCTTGGGAGCCCATGTCACTTGTGTTGTGCCAGTAACAGACAACAAATGAAAGGAGTTCAAAAAAGATCTTCCATCTTCCCCAGTGGGTTCACAGGAAAGCACTAATTGTTCTGTGTACACTTTTTTCAGTTGTATATGGAAACATCAAGATGAACCATTTAAGAAAAAATAAAAACCAACCCACACTTAATCTGCTTCTGGCAGTAGAAGAAAAGCTCTCTCTACTGTGCTGCTGTGAAGCTTGACCAATTTGAACACAGGAGGAAAGAATGGTCTCTCTTTGTTGTTGACGAACCCAAAAATGTTACTGCATTCCTGTGCTTGCATCTCTCTTATTGTGGCAGGTTAACGGGGATGTGGTGCATGCTTCTGCAGGCACTAGCCCAGGCTTGTGTGTTTGGATTGTGCATCTGTGATGGTCAGGTCCCTTAAGCCTCCCCTGCAGGTTTCCTTAAAATGCCACTGCTGAAACTAACCATCCTCAGAACAGGCACTTCTTGCCTGAAAGGCAAATTTAGTTGCAGGGATAGCCACATGCAGTTCACTTCACACCCCCAAGAGATTTGCTTTGCTGCTGCTGCAGGGGACTCTCTCTTCCCACCATGTTTTGTTTTCTCCTTAGAATTAGGGCTACAGCTTCAAGGCAGTGCCAGGTGCTACCTCTATTGCTGATGTGTGTCCCAGGAACTTACACAGGGGCCACAGGATCTTGGGATTCCACCCATCTAATGCATTCCTTACCAACATGGGAGAAGAGGAAGTTGAGTGACGGACAACTAGAACCCCTAGAGTCCAGAAATTCAAAACAAAGCATGTTTATTAAGTGGTTTCCTTTTACTTATTTCTCCCATTTTTTAAAATAAATAAAACCTTCAGACACATACAAGTGAAACACATCATCCTTCAAAGTGCAGTTACATTTCCACCCCACTCCCAAGAATCACATAAAGCTTTGTCAAGTAACCAAAAAGACTCAAAGGCAACCCTCGGTCCCTTCCCCTAGCCATGAGAATAAATGGGTCTGTAGTGCTGCCCAGCGAGCCAGGAGCCGCTATCTTTTGGCTGTTCAAGACTGACAAGGCTGGTTTCAGATAACAGTTGCAAGAGGCAGTCTGCAGAAGGAAGTGGGAAGTTTAAGATACATAGTCTGAAACAAAACCTGTTGAGAGTCCAAAGAATTTGTTACCAGAATAAGTTAGTTACTCTGGGAGCCCTGGAAGGAACTAGGCTGATGACAGTCATGAGTGATGGATCAGAACTGCTGCTCGGTCACTGCTGTGAAGCTGGCTGCTGGCAGCAGAGGCTGGGATAAGGGATTAAGTCATTTTGCCCGAAGTCATTGGAATCCCCTTCCCCCAGGCCTGCGCACCTGGCCCAGGTGAAATGCCAGCACCAGCTGCCTCCCAGGATTAGTTTGAGTCTGCCTGTACTCCAAGCACACCAAGTAACAGAAGAAAGAGAAAGGGAAGATGAGGTCTGACGCTCAAGTTCATCTGATGCAATCCCTCTTTCCTGATGTCTTTTAAGAATCTGTTCTGATCAAGGGCACTGAGCAGAGGTATGGGCACATACAGGTCAGTTAAGTCCTTTCAGGCTCATAGAAAATTGCTGTAAATAAGATTTAGCGCCACTTAAACTACCATGATTTTGACCTCATCGTTCTCATCAGCACGGTAGAAGAAGGGAATGCAGGGGTTTTCCAGCAGGGAGCCCAGCCTCTCTTGAGGGTTCTGGATTTCTCTGAGAAGCTGCATTATTTGCTTTGCTGTGGGGTCCTCTTGGCTTGGCTGAGCAGCTTTACTGTCAATAGGGGAGAAACCGGATTGATGAAGAACAGCAGCCTCTTGTTCTGCTTCATCTGATAAATTCACTTCCCGTAACCCTGTAAGGAGCACAGACAAGGCAGGCACATAACTCTTTGCATCCACGCACAACAGTGAGACCTTGGGTTATTCTAAGTTACAGAACTTATCCTAGCTGCAGCTTACCTTCTCCATCAGTAGCGTTCAGTTCAATGCGCCTCTCCACTGGAAGTACACTTTCATTCTGGCTTGCTAACAGCTCTGGGTTTTGAGCTGCTGCTACATACTTGCTGTACCATTCATTTCTTTCCCTGACCAGACGCATCACTAAATCCTGTAGTTCCAGTAGTTTCA